TAGGGCTTTGTTTGCCATTTAAATTGAACCCTGTAGTTAAGGGATCCATATAAAGAAAGTGCGGAAGGATCAATGAACATGCTGTGGGGGGCGGAGCTCAGAAAGTCAGCAGAAGACAGGCACGGTCTGTTAGATTTCTGAGAAATCAAATGTCAAGGTAAAGAATGAGACCTTCTCCTGATGGAAGGATCAATGAACATGCTGTGGGGGGCGGAGCTCAGGGAGTCAGCAGAAGACAAGCACGGTCTGTTAGATTTCTGAGAAATCAAATGTCAAGGTAAAGAATGAGACCTTCTCCTGAGGACAGTAGGAGGTTACTGAAATTTGTTAGCGTGGGCATGGCATAAGTGTGTTACTCTACCTCTTTAGTTTCACCTGTTCCCTTAGAACTCTATATCAGACCAGACTTCATTCATTCATTTCCTCGAAGGGTCAAGGTCTCTCAACCCTGGCCTTGGCACATGCTGTATGCTGTGTCTGGGACTCTCCCCAGTCACCATGCCTTTTGCCTGGCCACTGTACACCCTCCCAATCACACTGAAACACTTCTTATTCCAGTTAGCTGCTTCTACTATGTGCTGCTCTCTCACAGCACCCTGTACTTCCCCATACAAATACTATTACTCTATAGCAATCACCAATTTGATTGAATGCCTTCCTAGACTGTAAGTTCTCTGGTGGCAGCGTTTACCATTTCTGTCTTCATCTCCAAGCACAGTGTATAAGATGCAGTGGATAAATATTTGTTGACTGAATGAATGAATTCAATAACAATGAATGAATGTTTTAACTTTGAGTCCTTGTAAAAATACAAAGGGAGGTAGAAGCCCGTGAAAGAATTAAAGCACAAGTTAAAATCATAGAGGTGACTTAGATAATCAAGGAGAGATGAAGCAGGGACCAAAAGAACTTGACAATGGATTGGCTTTGCATAGTGAATGAGAAGAAAGAGTTAAAGTAACTTAATGATCTTTCCCTCCTCCATTGCCAGGATTCTTTATAGCTCACACCAGTTAGTCAGCTCAGGGTCAAGACTTTGTTTTTGTTCACAGTGGATGAAAAGTACACAAATATATTTCAAATATACTTCCTATATTCGAAAACCTCTGCTTCCTCTCATGTTCTGTTCTAAGGAAATGTCCAAAATCACAATATTTAAGTACTTCATATGTCTTCCATTAGTAGGCCTCAATTATTTTTTCTTACTTAAAACACCACTCAGCCAAACAGAAATAAATTTACATTAACCAAAGTAACTAACACTGGACAAATTTTAAGGGGGTGAGAGTTAAGTTCAAGGATGGTTTTAAAAAAATACATTAGAGGTTTCTAAGTGGAAAGAAGGAAAGAAAATATTTTCATGCTTTTACCTTTGGTTTGAGTATTAACCCAGGAATTAATCTTTTTTCTGGCTTCTTCTGCACATTCTAGGAAGTCTACTGCTTGGGGTTCTGTAGAGTAATATTTCTTAGAGAGTTTCATGTATTCCTTGAAAGCAAGAAAAATGCCAAAGGTTACTTAGAATATATAGGGAACAAGCCATGGTGTAATTGTAAATTACGGGCTTCCCCATCAAACTTGGGAGGCCTGGGGCAGGGGTGGGGGTGAAGGTTGGCCATGGCAGGGAGGTGGCTGTTAGGGGTGGGGTTGGTTAAGTGGGATGGGGGGTGCTGAAAGAGGAAATAGTGCAGATGACAAGTTCTCCATTGACCCCCTCTGCACACTCCAGCCCCAAGTCTATCTGCCCTCTTAGACTCTGCTTTGTAGACACTGCATAAGAGGAAAGAGGTTTAGCCCGTGAAAGCATGGCTCTGGAAAGCAGTTATGTTCCTCTCCTGATTTATTACTCTGCAAGTGGAGCATTTGGAACAGGAAAAGGACAACCCGACAGACAGAGAGAGTAGAAGGGACAGCTTCAATATGAGGCCAGATGTGGAATTCTGACCCTGCTCGTATGAACTGTAGAGAACTGCTTTGAAAGTGACCTAATTGCTGGTTTGGGGCCCAGCCATTTCAATGACAGATTTCACTTACTTCCTTGAATCCCACAGACTTCTCTCCAAACAGCTTATTGGCACTTTCCAATATAAAGTCCCCTGTGGATGCATTGATTGCAGAGCTGAGAGAGCGGAAGGATGAATGGATTTTATCTGCAGCTTGTGCCTTAAACAGAAAGAAGAGATTGTCTGTACATAACACAGGACTACTAAAGGAGATATTTCTTAAGCAATGATAATGTTTTCTCAGTACAACCATAAAATGCTATATTAATGCATACTTTTTTCTGGTGCTTTAGAGGAATCTTAGAGGAAGCAATTTCGATAAGGATGTGGTACATTAAAACTAATAAGATAAATTTTAATTTGTTTCAGATTTTGCTATGTCTGCATTGGACTTAACCAGGAAGCAACCAACAACATAGAAGAAAGTTAGGCTCTTTTTCAGTTTCCCAAACTTCTATGTTTCTAAGGAACTTTTATATTTATAAAATGAATAAATTCTGGAGATATAATGTACAGCACGGTGATTATAGTTAATAATACTGTATTGTATTATTACAGTATTATTACTGTATTCCACAATGTACAGGGATCTCAAATCATCACGTTGTACACTTTGAATAAATACAATTATCATTTGTCAATTATACCTCAATAAAACTGGGGGGAAATGTTACCTTAGTAATAACCTAACAAAGTTTACATAGCTTCCATAGGTACTCATTTTATGGGGTACCCTATGCAGTGAAAAATCTGGGTTTTAGAAAACCACAAAAGTGAATGCTAATTCTAATCCTCAACCTGAAATGTATAAGCGCTGTGACAGACTTTGGGCTCAGTCACAACAATAGGCTGGCTGGGGAGAGGACAGAGCCCTCCAGACGGACTGCCGGGTGTTGCAGAAGACCTGGCAGAATCTCCATATTATGGGGACTCTCTCCACCTCCTCAGCCCATAGTTCCCTGGGTGATGGGTACATGGAGCATCAGGGTGCCCAGGAAGAAGTTATGGGAAATATCTCCCTATAATCTAACTCATAAGCATGATTACAGAAGGTGGTTACTAACAGGAGCACATCTATACCTAGTTTCTATAATTTAGCTGAATAGTTGATATTTAAGGAAATGGAATATTGAATAAAAGTATTACTACATGAGATAGATAATGGATGGACAGATGGACAGATAGATAGGTACATAGATGGGGAGAGATATGTGAGAGTCAGTGGCCTCTCATGCAGTCATTGGGCCTGACCTTCCCTATTCCTCAATTATTTGTCACTCCCTATCCTCTCTACTTTGAAAATTCTCATCCATCCATGTGTATTCTAGGAGTCTCGACCATGGTTTTAGAATAAATTACACATACCCAACTAATGGCAGAGGGGCGTGATAGAATTTAGAAATAGCTTGCCCTAAAGTCATGAAGTCTGGATTCTGCCCTGGCTCTGCCCTTTGTTTTCGGTGTGACTTTAGGATATTTACTTAATGACTCTGAGTCTTAGTTTTCTTTCTGTGAATGGGAGAAGTTGTACAAGGTTTCTTCTCAGTCTAACACTGTGACCTTAAGACAAGAAGATTCTAGAAATAAGATACAAAAGAAGTATGGATGAATGAGTCAGATACCTGCAAAATAGCATCAGGATAAGTACCCTTCTGGATCTGCTGCATGAATTGGCAACCAGTGAAGTTGTCTGGGGTCACTGAGGTGACTTCATTGACTTCAGCTTTGTCAAACTGAAACACCTGAAATCAGAATTAGAGAGAACGGTTATACTTTCCTGCTGAATTACTTAACTTTGAAAACCAATACTACCAGGTACCTCTAAGGGGTCCTATGTCTGGATCCCTGCCTTTGTGTATGGGGAACAAGCACAGATACTCTTTTCTTGGAATATGAGAGTGTCAGCCAACCTAAATTTCCCTTACAGGAAACAGCATGAGGTACTTCATACTAATTCATACATATACTGGACATTTTGAAAAACAATTTGTTACTATAAGATGATTTATAATCTCTTCCCTAAATTATCTACATTATCATCCAAGCCATAAATTGTCTTGAAAAAAAAATGCTGGTATTTTGAAGAAAGTAATAAGGTTAACTCAGAACCCTGTATCTCTCTCTTCTCAGTGGCCTTATATAAAAAATACACTTCCAATCTGTCAAAAACAAGTCAAAGTCAGTTCAAGCATAAAAACGGGTCACTCAGTATTAACAGGTATCATATAAAATATTTACACATACCACATTCACACAGAGAGAGGAATTAACATCTGCGGGAGCACAAATTACAGGGGTCAGATGACAATATGAATCTCTTTGTATGTATGGGGGTCATTTCAGATAACGCAGGAAAGCTGGCCCCTATCAAGCCTCCTCAGATTTCCTCCCCACAATATTGTCACCCACCCAGCCTGGCCCTGCCAGTCTCAGCACCACAGGCTGACCCTGCTACCAACCACACCCCCTACCCCCAACATCCTTGGGACCCACTGGTCCTGGGGCACATCCCTGCAGGGCCCATGGTGCAGAAGAGCTGATCTGGTAAGTGGGTGGACACTCGGGGCTCTGCTTATAAAGGAAAGGCAGCCTCGTCTAGCCAGATGGTGAATTTCTGGACTAGAGGAAGAGGTGTTAGGGTTTGTGAGGCCTTCCTTTGCTCCTCCAGTCACTCATCAAAGGTCCTGCCAAACACTCTGAAAAGAAGTCGTCCCACTCTGCCCCACACAAGGGAAGAGTATTTCCTGTAACAGATTCTCTGGTTTTCCTCCCTTCCTAGGAAAGTGACCTTTACATCAGGGTTCACTTAGCTACACTAAAGCTTTCCCAAATCACTTCAAAAGGACTTGGGGAGATGTCCTTGCAGGAGGGGGGATGAGAGATGACCCTGGTCCACTCTGAGCCCATGGAGAAAATAGCAGAGCAGGCACACGGTCCAAAGAGTCAGCTGGGCCTGCACAGGTCTGTGGCCTCACCCTGAACATAAGAGCAGGCAAAACATTTCACACTGGCACACTAATCTCATATAGACCTGTGCTCTCTAGGAGTTTATGCCTCCTATTCATTCTTTTCTTTCAGTACAACTGTACTACCTCTACCAGCTACACCAACCCCCAGCTAGGTGGCCTCTTGTCCTCATCTCCTCAACCGCAAGATGAGTACAGTAATCACAACGCCTCCATCATAGGGTTTTGTATTATGTGAGGAAATTCATAAAAAGTTCTTAGAAAGGTGCCTGGTCTAAGGCACTAATAAGTATTAGTTATTATTAAAATGAATGCCACTAGGTGCTTTACCTATTATCTCTAATTTTCACAACTGTCTTGCTGTTGTCATTTTCATTTTATAGATGATAAAACTGAGACTCGGAGGGCTTTCAATACCCGCACTCACACAGGTAGTAGGTGGCAAAGCCATGACTCAAACACAGGTGACTCTGTCCCCCAAGCCTGTGCTTCTTCCTCTAAGCCAAGGAACATTTTTTCTTACTTGGGAAGCAATCAAATTGGCTTTTGAATGTTAAAATCTGCACATGCAGCAGAGAGAAAATAGACTGTATATAATCCCTGCATAGTTCCAGGTGCTTAAAGCACTTTCTAGACACAGAAAAGCTGTCTTGTGTCCAGAGTGACCAATAAGTTAGTTTTTCTTAGCATCAAAATTAAGGTTTTTTTACTTTAACATCCCAGAGTACTTCATTTAGCATTTGCTCCAAAATACATTGCTTCTGATTTCTTTACTCTTAACATATTAAGACCCAGATGTTTTCTGAAGTTTTCAAGGCAGTTTTCTATCCGTGTTTTTTCAAGGTAAGAAAGTAAAGGGGAAGGAGTGTTGCAAAATGCTGCTGGTATCAGTGAGTTGAGCAATTGAGTTTTGTTGTAAGTCTCGATGTTTAAACTGCCACAAACAGAGAGTGATCTATCTAATCCCTTGTCTTCTTGCAGTGAGATCGGCCAATGCTCTCTTTGTGAAACATCAAACTTCAGAGGAGGTCCACCTTACACATGCATCTCTGTGAGTGTAGTGACAACCACAGCTCTGGTACATCTTTTTTTCTTATGACACTGTCTTAACTCCATTAAGAGGAGTTCTGTATAGAAATGAGGAACCAACACACCATGGTGGCAGAGTGATGTGTGGGAGCCTGAGTTAGGAGTTAAGAAGTGCCAGAGTCCTCACACTGCCAGAGTTCTCATCTGTAAAATGATATTTTGTCTTAAAACCAATTGAGATAATGCATGCAAAACATTCACTTTGAAAAGTCTGCACGTTATATTATTAAAATGTAAGATGTTGTCACTATTCACTATTTCCAGGCTTTCAGGATAATAAAAGCCAATGCATTTTCTGCTATCCACAATTGATATTTTGTCTTAAAACCAATTGAGATAATGCATGCAAAACATTCACTTTGAAAAGTCTGCACATTATATTATTAAAATGTAAGATGTTGTCACTATTCACTATTTCCAGGCTTTCAGGATAATAAAAGCCAATGCATTTTCTGCTATCCACAATTGGGGGTTTTCCTGGTTTGGCTGTTTTGTATATCTGAGTCTAAGGAATCCATGTTGTAAGGGCCAGCACTTAAGGAGCATGTGATGATTGCTGACCTTGCTATAGTCAAGATGACCTGAGCATAAACAAGAGCAATCCTACAATTCAGTTTGGGAATCATGCAGCCCTGATATGGAGCTTCACCACAAATGTACCTTGGCCATCTGGTCTTCTGTGTTGCCTCTGGAGCCCAGGTAGACCATGGCCATGGTGGATGAGATGCTCCACGGAGAAAAGAAGAGGTTCTGGGTGGGGCTTGTTCTTGCCAGATGCTTGAAGAAGTTGAGGGCAAAGATTGTGTTTGCCACATAAAGGTCTTCCATGGTCTCAATCTAGAAGGAAAGTAAGGAAGGAAAAAAACAGTTCTAAAAGGTGATGTAACATTTGGGGTGAGGTCACCAGAGTAGTACAGGCTGTACCTGTATGGGTAGGGGATACAGGCTGCCCCTCTGCTCTTCCTCCAGGAAACAGCATGAGGGTCAAGGACAACTTCACAGCCATGCAACCTGTGCAGCCACAGAGGGCCCCATGATTGTGCAACACTCGCCTGTCGCCATCTTGAGATACTTAACCAAGAGGCCCCACATTTTAATCTTGTGCTGGACTGTAAACTGTGCAGCCAAACCTGAGATACAGTAAACAGCTATATGATGAGTAGTGACACTTAATGGCACTCGATATATTAGCTATGATGACAGCAATAACAATAAATAGCATTTATTGAATTCTTATTGTCTAACAGGTGTTGTTCTAAACACTTTACCTGTACTAACCATTTGATCCTCACTGAAACCCTGTGAGGAAGGCCCTATTATGTTGTTTTACACAGAAAGAAATGGCCGCACAGAGAGGTTAAGAAAAGTGGTCACTGTCACTCAACTGCAAGGGGTGGGAGCAGGAACTGAAGCCAGGTAGGCAGCCTCCAGGATCATGCTTTCAACCTCTATGCTGCTCCCCCACAAACACACACACTACACACATATCCAATACACACCCACACACACCGGCAAATACACACATATTCAAACGTATGCCACGTGCATACACATTCTTGGGGGGTCCAGTTGAGACAATCTTCTTTCAAGTTTCCTGCTTCTAGAAGTGGCTTAGACTCATTGTTCCAGGATCAAACTTTTATCCAGCCTCCACACTACACACCATACAAACCGCAGCCTTGCTACAAAAGGACTTTCTATATCGGGGAGTTCATTATTGGGAATACCAGAAGGGCCTCCCACTTCTGCTACCCTCTGCCCCACCCAGTGAGAAGTCAATGCCAGGCGGGACAACAGAGATGGTCCCAGACATGTGAAACACACACATCCATTCAACTTATCAACCATCTGAAAATAAATGAGAGACACCCTTCTACGACCTAAAGCTCTGCAAGCGACCGAATGCTTGGACACACCCAAGGTGTGTGTGTCTGTTGGTATTGGCCAATGATCATCTTTCCAGCTGTATGTTTTGCTTTCATCATAGCTTAAACATACCCTACAATTACCAAAATATATAAATATACCAAACGACGCTGACACTCATCATCCCTCTGGAAGCCTTCTTGCGATAATGGCTTCCCAGAACCGGGGAGGGGCTGGAGAAGTCCCTCAGGATGAGACATGTCCTGTAACTGTTATCTTGGCTCTCTGCAGCTGTGGTCTCACTCAGCAGGGCTTCACAACAGGGACCAGTTTTCACTTGTCTCTCTAATCCATGGTGATTCATAATTTTACCAAGACAAAAATAGTAGGTTAAATAAAACTTGGCCCCAAAACTCTCTTACCTCCTCTTGTCACCTCATTTAATCTTTATAGGATTCATATGAAGAAGATATAATCATCTCTATTTTATAGATCACATTCTGATGCTCAGAGAGGTTAAGTAACTTGTATGAGTTCACACAGCTCATATATAATGGTTCAGGGATTCAAGTCCAGGTCTGCCTTAGGAAGTCCACTCTTTACAATGTCCCCCACTGCCTTACTTGCTGATGCATATTTTCACTATGATATGCAAGAGTTTAAGTAAGTTATAGCTTGAGAAATGCTAAAAAGAGGAAACCAAAAGAGAAAAGTAGCAAGTCTGCAATGCTCCTAGAAGGCTTATTAAGTTAAAAAAAAAAATCACTATTTTTTTTCTTCCTTCATCACAGAGATTAGATTAATATGTGGTTCAGAGATTTGTTTCCTCTTTCTTCTACCAATTTAAAATTGTCTTTATAATTAGTTAGATTTATTAATAAGTTTTTAAATAAATTGCCCAAAACCTTTTGGAAACAAACTGAATGTTAATAACATAAATTAAACATTTCTCTATTCCCATGTAAAAATCAGAGATCAGATCCAGAAAAGCAAATTTAGACTTCTCCTATACCTAGGTCTTTGTAAAAATATGCATAGTCAGACACTTCGACACTAACTAAATTTAATGTTAAGACGAACTATCAGAAACGGCTATTAATAGCAAGTTAGGATATAGGTAACTAGATAAAGAAAAATGACTTAATAAGAACAGAATCAAATTGTCCCAGATGCATTTACTTCTTTTAAAAATAGTCTGAATTATACTTTTAAATGAGGTGTAATTAATTGTATTTATCATAAAAATAATATTTGATGTATATTATATTACAGTTACCAAATTCCCTCAGATACCTTTAGTTTAATTTGCATAATTATGTGCCCAGTAAAGTTTAGTAATTTCTGTTATACACATGAAAATGTGAGGATGTAGATTGCACAAATGGTTAGTTTCAGAGTGTAGAATGGATTCCACTGTTCTGATTTCAAGTCTAGTGCTTTTCCTATGAACTATTCAAATAAGGTCTGAGAGCTTCATAACTTTAGAAATCCATGAATATACAAAGACACACATATACTCTGTATCCTGGCATACAGTCAAGTCCTCACTTATGTAAGAATCTGCCAAGAAAATGCAAAATTAAAGTCATGGAGTGATGTCAACTACCATAGCCTCCCAGAACAGGTACACCTATTGTAAATTTCTTTACGCTACAGTTAATTATGCAACTTCATTAACTTCCAATATTGTGTTCCTAATTAATGTTTAATATTGTCATTGAGATGAATGAATGGAAATCACATGTGGGGCTGGGCTCCTCGATGTTTATGTTGGTTCCTGCAACACAAGTTGACAAATGCACCACTGAAACTTGGCACAGGTGATGAAAAATTGGGGAGGTGCCGCCAGGCTCACTGCCGCAGTCCCTCTTCTCATTGATCCTGAATATTAGATTGCAGTTTGCTTTAGCATTAGAAAACTTTTTTTTTTTTTTTGCAACTGGATGGTGCAAGTATTTTGAAATTGCCCACAAAAGGCAATGAGAACTAAGATAAAACAATGGTTTCAAGGAAGCATCCCATCAGAAATTGCCTCATTCTTTCCCTACAAAATTAAAAGCAGGGTTTTTTTTAAACTATACTTCGGTCAACCCAAAAACTAGTTTGACTGATTTTTCTCTTTCACTAAATTGACCATTATTGAACTAAATTCAATAAATATATTCTCATCCCAGATTTACCCAACCCAAATTGCTGCCTAATTTCTGCAGTTGTTCACTTTAGATAATAACTGAGTTCTCTTTTCCTTTTATTTATATGCAATTTATAGATTACTTTCAATTGCTTAAATAAAAATATTTTAACTTTATCTAGCTACTTCTATCAAATTCAGTGTCAAAACCGTAGCTAGAATAAATGGCAAACAGGTTAGATATATGATATACATATTCTAACCTGTTCAATAAAATTGGCATTGCAAATTGAATATACATTTTGTTTTGGTTAATGCTGCATAGGTATGTGCTGGCTTCTGAAATTCAAAATTAAGTCTTACTATAGATTTAACTCAAATTTTGAACTAAAATATTTCAATTAAACAAACAACTAAACAAGAAAACATCATTCAATTTTTACTCACCCTCTACAAACATCCCACATCTTAGTTTTCAACAAATTAACAATACCTATATGAAGAAAGAGGAAAAAATGATACTGTATTTCCCATAGAAATGGCCACAGAAATCACTGAAATACCTTATTCTTTGAGATCCTCTGAGTTGCAGTCTGACAGGAAATGCTTCTCTGAGAGTTGTTATAGTTCATACGTGGTAATGACCGGTTTTATAAAGCTCTGCCCCTCCCACTCAGCATTTTTCCCTCTTTCATTTGTGTCCTTTGAGTGATTCAGCACTTTGCTCAGAAAGACATCATTAGAATAGAAGTGCTTGTTCATAAAGGCAGAGTTTAAGAAATTTGTTGGGAGAATGACGTCACTCAGAAACTTAAGAATTTGGCAATATCGACACATACTGTCAAAGTTAGCGAAAACCTATCAGCAGCAGTTTCCAGTCTTCCCCTGTACACCTGTACTCAAGGAGAGTATTAAATTCCACACGACTCTTTCTCCCTTTGGACAGCCATGGCCTCCGGGCTCTTTCTGATATGTAACGACAATGGTGTCCTTTCTCTCTTTTGAGTCCAGGCAGACCCAGGTGACCCTTTGGGCATGGGAAGGAAGAGAAAACCACTATTTTTATCTCTTAGAAGTTGTCTATTTCAAACTGTCTTACATTTTCTCAAGGTATAACTTTCTAAATAATTCTGAGTTCCACCCTAGTCTCCTGTCATGAACCACACACCCCAAAAAACTTTTCATTTTCCCTTGATTAGAACAGAGATCTTATCCTTACTACAAAATAAGAAAGTATTGACTCTTTTACAAGTTTTAACACCCTCTGGGACTCGGTTCTGTCCTCCAGTGAGTGCTCGGTAGTCTGGTGGTGGTCTGGGTTTCCTTCCTCCTTTTCAGCCTGATTTCCCTGGAGAGCCCCCTCTGACCAGGCCTGTGTGTTCAAATGCTCATCTGTTCTTTAACCACACACTGGCAGCTCAACAATTTGCTTTGGGTATCAAATGTACCTAGAATTTTAGCCACCCTTTGCTTCACTCAGCTTGCAGGCTCTGCTGTTTCCCACCTTACTGCTTTTTCTCAAGATATTCTTCTCTTGAAGTATGCCATCCTTCCTTCACCCAGGTGATCCAAATCTGTGAGGTTCGACTCATACCCTGTAACTTCCATGAAGTCCACTCTGACTCGTACAATGCTCAGTGAACTTCTACATTAGAACTGCACCTCTTAGAGTGGAGCATGCAATATAATAATCTTGGAATTCCAGCTGTTTCATCTAAGTTAGGCTTCTTTCCTTAAATAGACTGTGCACTTGATTCCCCTTCAGCAGCAGGAACAGTTCTGAGCGTCAAGTGGATCCCTGCCAAATATTTCTCAATGAATTGTAAGATGC